TTCAAACAAAAATAATATTTCTCTTATCCTCCCATATATCTAAACTCGCCCACCCCCACACACCATCCCAAACCACCCACACCCAACCGCTCCCGATACAAGACCCAACCCCACCCCAACCGCAGACTCACAAACTCACCCCCACCCATACCAACACACGCACAAACACACCCACCCAACACCCCCAACCCGCACCCACCATCCCCAACCCGCAAAACCCTCTCCCACCCCCGCACCCCCACCCCCACCCCCACCCCCCACCCCTAGCCACACCCATACCGACACCCACAACCACAACACCTACGCCCACGCCCACGCCCAAGTGTCACACCCACCCCCACACACACACACGCAAGAACACCCACAGACGCGTACACACGCACACACACACACACACAAGCACACACACCCACACACACACAATACCATCTTTATGCAACACACACAGGCACACAGACAAACCCACACACACACACAGAAACCCCCACACACACACAACCATATACACACAAACGCACAACACGCACACTCGCGCACGCGTGCGCACGCACAAACGCACACGCGCTTATGCGCACGCGCACGCACACGCTCACGTGCACGCACACAACCACGAACACCCACAACCGCGCCCAACCACACACAACCACACACAACCACGCACGCACATACGCACACACACACACACACACACACTCAAACACACACAAACACACACACACACACACAAACACACACAAACACACACACAAACACACAAACAAACACAAACAAACAAACAAATAAACAAAACCAAACAAAACAAACAAAGCCAAACAAAACAATCTTTGCTTCGTGCATGCCCCCACCCAGACCGCCCTAGGCATGCACTCGGACACTCCTTTCTTTTTGTAGCTGCTGAGACGGCGGTTAGTCCCTCAGACCTTCGTCGAGCCGCCGTGCCCATCGTGGGCTCAAATCGGTGCACTCCGATCTCCCCTTCTTCGTCCCGTCCCCACAGCGTTCCTGCCTCGAGCTCCACTCTCGATCAGGGAATAAAGGACGAAGGGGGAGACCCGCTTCCAAGATGCGGGGCGTGGGGCCAACTGCCCTCCGCCGCCCCTCAGCAGGTTTCCCCGCGAGCGACCTCTGGTCGACTTTGCACCTGAGCGTCAAGGAGCTAGGCGCTAACGACGTGCCACCTCAGAAGGCTGTCGGGAGTGGTGGGTGGGAAGACAGCCGATCCGTGACTCCCGGTGGCGGGCTTGACCCCAAATGGCCACGGGAGTCAGCTGTTATCCCTAACCTCCAGGCACTGCAGCACGATTGTTATTTCTTACACGCGTGTAGTCCACAACAATCTTTGCTTCGTGCATGCCCCCACCCAGACCGCCCGAGGCATGCACTCGGACACTCCTTTCTTTTTGTAGCTGCTGAGACGGCGGTTAGTCCCTCAGACCTTCGTCGAGCCGCCGTGCCCATCGTGGGCTCAAATCGGCGCACTCCGATCTCCCCTTCTTCGTCCCGTCCCCACAGCGTTCCTGCCTCGAGCTCCACTCTCGATCAGGGGGGGAAGGACGAAGGGGGAGACCCGCTTCCAAGATGCGGGGCGTGGGGCCAACTGCCCTCCGCCGCCCCTCAGCAGGTTTCCCCGCGAGCGACCTCTGGTCGACTTTGCACCTGAGCGTCAAGGAGCTAGGCGCTAACGACGTGCCTACTTGGGTTACCGCGTCCTAGCACTACAGGAGAGTCGGCCTTACTTGTTTTCCCTGCTTCTGTACAGGTGCGTCCAGGCGATCCTGCCCGGAAAGTTCAAGCCGGAGCTTGCGGGAAGCACTTCGGGCAGAGCCTGTGTCCGCCCGAGCTGAAGCTACCGGCGAGTCCATTCTGGACCCAGTTCCACCCGCACCTCGCCTTCGACGCGGCCGGGTGGTTCAGATCTAGGGCCCGGGGAGCGTGCAGGGTCCCCGTGAGCCCGTTCTTGATCTTCACGATCAGATCAAGTCCTCAAGCTTCTGGGCTCTTCCGGCCCTAAGAAGCTCATTGGCGCCCGGGGGGCCCGCGCTGGCCCCTACCGGGCCTCCGCTTCCCCAGGACATGGGGCCTTCCCTCAAGGCGCGGGCGATGGTCTGCGAGGCCTTTGCCGCGCGTGCAACGGGCGCGCCCCGAAGGTAGCACCTCATGCCGGCCTCGCTTTTCCAAGGGGACGGGCTCACGCTGCTTGGAGGCGCCCAGTCCCCACTTCACCATCCTCCCCACTCCCTTGACGGCCTCCAGGAGGTCGAGGTCCAGGCCGAAGGTGGTGCGGTGGCGGCGCATGGCCGCGTTGGCGTACAGCGCCGTGGACCTGTAGCCTTGGACCGCGAGGTAGGCCGACACCACACGCAGCCCCTCCACGTCCAGGGCCCCATCAGCCGGCCGAGGCTTCAGCAGGGTCTGCGCCGTCAGCGCGTCCCACGCCAAGTCCCACGTGCGCAGCCGTGCCCGCAGGGACTTGCGGGTCGTGGCCGCAAGCTGCTCCGCGAGCTTCGCCCGAAGCTTCTGCGCGAGACTCTTCCCCCTTCCGGCCTTCTGGGCGGGGGAGGGTCTCCGCGGGCGATTGCCCTCTGCTTCCTCTGCTTTTGGGACGGGCGGTTTTTCTTCTTCTTTTCCTCGCCGGTCCCCCTCCTCCTTTTCCTCCTTTGGGTCCCCTGCCCCCCGATCCTCCCGGCCTGTCCTTGTGGGGAGGGGGGGCCTTCCTGCCGTGCATCCTGTCGCACTCCTCGCTGAACCTGCAAGGCCCGCAGCAAAAGCGGGAGAAGGAGCGGCGGTGCCGGTCGCAGCCCTCGGTCATGCAGTTGCGTCATCTTTCTTTCCCCCGCCCGAGGATTTCTCCATGGCCCGCTTCACAGAGCCCCTCGGCGGGGGCGCCCTCTTCCCCTCAGGCTTCTTGGGGGGGGCTCGGGTTCCCCCCCTTCCTCTTCCTCCTCCTGCTCGTTTTTGGTTCTAGTCCGGCTCGTCCTTGGTCGGGACAGGGGCAGCCGGCCTCGTCGTCCTGTCCACGTAGTCCACGCTGCCCTCCGGGATCGGGGCGTCGATGCGGAGCACCGCCCCCAGATCCGGGCGGCTCCACCCGCTCCGCCATCTTAGGCATCGCCTTAACCAGCACCGTCTCGGGTGCCGCTGGTGGGGCCGCGCCCGCCCCTGCCTTTGGTGGCGGCGGGGTCAGCGGGACCACCATGCCTGGCACCGGGGGTGGGGCCTTTCCTCTCAGCTCCGGGGTCATGTGCGGACCCTCGTCGAGCTTCACCGGCGGGAGCTGCCCTGCTCCCCCCTCCGGTTCTCTTCGTAGAGGCAGCACCGGGACGCGACCGTTTCATCCCGAAGCGTCACCACGCAGCCTGGGCAGACTATGCCCGCAGAGCCGCGTCCGGGCCTCAGCCGACCCCTGCGCCCCAGGTCCGCTCACTGAGCGGATTAAGCCGCTGGTGCGGTTTCTGACGCACATCCCGCACAGCACGGTTCCTCCCATCATGGGGAGGGTGCGGAGGTGGTCCTCACTCCGCTGGCTCCTGAACCGCATGGCCTGGCCGTGGTTCGTGCAGGAGCAGCAGAAGGGGAGCGTCGTGAGCTCGGCCACTGCTTGCCTGGCCTCGCTCTCGTCAGCTCCCGCCTCCTCCTCTTCTTCCTCTCCTTCCTCTTCATCTCCTTCCTCTCCTGCGGCACCTGCCGGTGGGGTAGGTCCGGCACTTCCCACCTGTGGGGGAGGCGCTCCTGCTCCCTGGCGAGCGGGCGCACAGCGCCCTCGCCGGTGCGGTTCCTGGGCCCCCTTCTCTTCTTCCTTCTTCACGCGCTTCGGGGTCCCGCGGGCGGCGGCAGGGGAGGAGGCTCGGACGGGAACGCCTCTGGGTCCCGCTCCTCTTCTTCCTCCTCCTCTTTCTCGGTGTTGTGCTGTACACCTCCCGTTCCTTCTCCGGCCCTTTGGGGGATCCTTGTGCCCCCTCCCACACCTGACGGTGCCGCTGCACCCTTTGCTGGCTTTCCTCCACTCTTCTTCGCGAGAATGTCTTCTTCGAGACGCTCCCTTCCCGTCGCCTTTGCTTGGGCCCCGGTGTCGTGGTGGGCCTCTTCATTCCTCCCTCCGGTACGGGAGCCAAGCCCCCAAGTGGATGGGCAGCGGCTCTCGCCTTCCGGGGAGCAAGACTACCGCCGGTCGCGAGGCCGGAGACAAAGGCGCGGCGGCGGTCCACCCGGTCCCCAGGGCATCCCCGACGCTGAGAGCGGGGGAGCCTCCGCCCTTTCCTTCGCTGTCGGACCGGCTCCTTGTGAGCTTCTTCTCCTTCTCGGTCCTGTCCTCGCCGGGCCCGCAGAGGGGGGGGTACCCACTCTGTTCCCCTCCCTGGTCTCTCTCCTCCATCGTTTCCCTGCGGCAGGGCCGCTCCAGGCTCGCCTCTTTCGCCCCATGTGGACGCTAGCGGCCGCGACCCACCATCATCCACAGCATCGCGCCAAGCGCCAGCACAAGAGCGCAAGCAGCGACAGGTCGCAGCCCTCGAGAAGCCAAAGTTCCCAGGCAGCCAGTTCGCCGCCGAGGGCCCACAAAAGGAGCCACACCAGCAGCATGCTGGGGGGCCGAAACGGCTGCGGAGGTGCAGGCAGGGGTGGGACAGCAAAGGGCAACCGACCTGTGCACACGCCTACGTCCAGAGCAGTTGCACCTGTGGACCTGGGTCCGGCACCGGCCAGCCTCGCAGCTCGAAGAGGTCCAGGTTGCATTGCACCTCGTCCCGGGGAAGACCCTCCAACTCCTTGGGAGGGGCTTCCCCTCGGAGAGGCGGCTCAGAGCATCCGCCTCAATGTTGATGGTGTTCCGCCAATGGCGGAGGTCCAGGGCCTTAACCTGGAGCGACTCCAGCAAAAGGCTGATCTCGGCAGCGAGGTGGTTGCTGGAGTCCCCTTTGGAGGACAAGGCCGTGGCGATGGTCAGAGCCGACTGGTTGTCCATCTGAATCTGGACCCCCAGGCGCTTACCGAAGAGCCGGGGTCCCCAGACCTTGAGTCCCACGAAGAGCGCCAGGAGCTCGAAAGTGGTCATGGAGCTGGATTCTCCGATCCGGGCTCCCAGGAATTGTGCAACCTCCTCTGTGATGGTGGCCGCCCAGTAGCGGAGGGGACGACCATCGGTCGAAAGGAGGATTCCGCCCAGCCCGGTGGTTGAGGCATCGCCGCTTTCCCCGTGCTGGTCAGCCGCAGTCGGGCCGCAGCGGCTGCTGCCCACAACATGGAGACGAAGGGCCGCAATCTCGGGGCGATGCCCGCGACCCAGGACAGCTCGCCCGCCAAGGACCTGATCCCTGGGGCGAGGCCCGGCGAATTGAGGACAGTCTCCACGCGGTGGAGGAGCTTCAGTGTTTTGGCTTTATCCAGGTGAATTCTGATTCTAACCGCGTCCCCTTCGACTGAGAGGACCGAGCCTATCCAGGCCTGGACCGACGGTCCCGCCGCCAACTTTTTGATCGCGAGCCTGGCGCCCACCACGGAGAACGCCACCATCATCATGAGCATGATGTGCGTCGCTTCACGGGCGGTTCCTCGGACCGCCGCCAGTGGGTCGTCCACGTAACATTGGAGGCTCGCGCGGTCCCTCGCCATACTTGCCTGTATGAATCTCATAAGCCACGCAGCCACCCTGCCCCACAGGAGGGGTGCCGTGGCCAATCCGAAGGGAACGCCTTTATATGCATAGTATGTGCCGTCCTGCCCCCGGACTATCGTATACGCCCGCTCCTCTTCTCTGACCTGCAGGTTCAGGAAGGCGTCGGCGATGTCGACCGTGATCAGGTAGACCTCTTCTCCGGGCTTGCGCCTACGGAGGAGGTCCAAGATGCCCTCCACTGCGTCACAGCCCCTCGGCAACACAATTCTTTCGGAGAACTTCGTGGCCAGGCCTTTGATGCCGCTGCGGCGCATGTCCACCACGAACCTGGTCTTCGCGGTGCCGTCCGGGCGTTCCTTGACGATCGTTGCAATCCGGGTGGTAATGGCGTCCGGCCACCGGGCAACCACGTCCTCCCACTCCCCTATTCTTTCGAGGTGGCCTTCCCGGACCAACCTCTGGAGCTCTTCTTCCGACTCCGAGGCAAACTCTTCGAACGAGCGGTAGTTCTCCCTGCCCTCGGGTGCCCCCCGGGCCTCATAATATTCCTGTGATGCACGTTGCGCCTCTGACAGCCCCGCCTCAGGGAACATGCCCCGGTTCGGGATGGCGTTTAAAATTTTCAGGGGGGCACCGTCTCTGAACCATGCCGCAACGTCTGTGTCCGGGTCCCCTGTCGCCTCCGTGATCGCTTCCATGAGGCCATACCGCCAGCCCGTGGGTCCCACGACGTGGTCCAACCCGGGCTTTCCCAGCATATCGCTGATTCTACGAGCGGCCTGGTCGCCGGCTTCGGTCACCTTTTTCTAAAGGTCCTGGGCCACATCCCCGGAACCATCCTCAGTCACGGCTCGGCCCTAGGTCCTCCACTTCTCCGAGCGGGCGACGGCCTGGGCGGGGTTCCTCATGCCCCCCTGTCATTGTCCGCCCTTCCGGTCAGCGGGGGTCTGTTCGGTCGCCGCCGGGGGTGACCCTTCCCCCTTGGCGGCTCTGACCTGGCTGCTTCTCACCAGGGTGTTCCCGTGCTTCCCAACCTTGACCAGCGCTTCGTGCGGGCCGGGGGCAGCCACAGCCCGTCCTTTGAGGGGGAGGCTCTTGACCCATCCTTCGGCCCACGCTTCGCAAAGTCCGGTGGGGTACTCGGCAGCTTCGCTGGTGAGCCACACCTCCTTGTCCAGCTTAAGGGAGTGGACTTTGCCTTTGAGGGCGGTGTGCCTGTGCCTCCGCACGTCGCCGCACCTTAACGCCGTATCGGCGATCCAGGGGGCTCTGCAAAGGAGGCCGGTAGGTTTCCTGAAGGGGCCACCATAGGCACACTGATCCAGCACCACAAAGTTCACGTCCTGCTGCTTAAGCAGCCTTTTAAAGGGCTTCAGCTTCCAGATTAGGGATCCCTCAGGGTTCTCGATGGAGAAATCCTTCCCAGCTCGAGCTGCAGCTCGGCTATCCCGACGCACCGCTCGGCCAGGAGGTCTGCCTCCTTCTCCTCTGCCGTGGTGCCCGCCGGTCTCTCCTCAGTCCGGGTCTTCGTTCGAGACGCCCTAGAGTACGTGCGACAGGGGGGGGCCATGTGCACCCAATCCACCGGTACCTCCCTCAGGTCCTGGAGCAGCTGGGCGTACACGTTGTCGTCGCTAAAGTCAAACGTTTTGTCGCCAACTAGCTTGTCGGCCGGGTCTAGCACTTCGACCCTCGTGCCCCCTGCCTCCTTGACCGCCTTTGACAGACCCGCATACCCAGCGAACAGTTCGAGGAATCGGGCGAGGAACCGGGCCCCATCGCTTTCGCCATCCTGCCCGGGGGCCGACTTTGGCGACGCCACAGGCGCCACCACGTCTGCCCCGCCACCTGCCCCCTTCTCCACCGCGGGCTTCGGAGGGGGGGCTTCATCCGCTCAGTTGTCGGGAGCCCGCCCCTTCTTGGGGCAGCTAGTGTAGGGATGGCTCCCCAGACAGATCTGACACACGTGTGAACGGCCCTGTGCGCAGACCCCTTTGCATTTGCCGATGCCGAAGGGGAAACAGATCTGATTGCCCTGGCGATCGGTGGTGTACCTTCCCTGCGCGTCCTTCCTAAGGGCCTTTCCTCCCCCCTTTCCGCCCTCCTCCCTTTTCGTGGGAGCGAGCGGTGGGGTGGTAGGCGGCGTCGGCTGCTCCTTCGCCGGCGTGCTTCGCCTTCTGCGCCTTTTGCGGGGGGGTGCCGGTCGGCGCCGGAGGGGGAGGCACCCCGTCTCCGGTGCGATCCGTGGCCTGCCCCGTCCCGCCGATCTGCCTCTTCGTGCCAGTTCCTCTGGCGGCGAGGAAGCGGAGGGCGGGATCGCGAACGTGTTCGTCCCAGTAGGCCCTATCCTGGCAGGCGTACCTGAACACGGCATCCCAAGGCCTTGCCGCGTCGTAGTCGGGGGCGAGTCCTTGGGCGTGGCGTTCCTGAAGAAGGCGCTTGACTCGGGGGAAGTGCTCGACCCTGCACCGGTCCTCTGCTGTCACAAGCAGGTGCCATGTATCCGAGTACCTCCCGGCCAGGTCCCGAAACGTCTCCCGATAGAGGTCCAGAGTGGACTGCGCGACGATCTGGACCTCCCCTCCCGTAACGGGATCCCGGCTCCTCAGCATTAGCAGGGTGTTTTCGAACACATGCCACGAGGTGAGCCAGGAATCGAAGTTGGGAGGGCCCGCCACCTCGACGGCTCTGAAAGTGCCGTCGGGCTGCAGGACGTGGTTGAGGAACTTGAGGGACCTGGAGAACCTAGACTGGAAGTTTACAAAGAGAGCAAAATCAGCGTAGGGGGCCAGGCCCAGGTCAATGATTCTCACCTTCATAGCCGAAATCTGGTCCGAGGTTGGTTCGGCCTCCGGTCTCACCGGCCCTCCTTTGACCCTTTCTAGGTTCCTGTAGAATTCGTCCATATCCATCGGGTCCAGCTTCGGTACTTCTCCGTCGTCGCCTTGGTCAAGGACGGTGCTCATCTTGACCTTCCTGGCCCCGTCCCCTACCCCTCCTCCGGCCCCGGCTGGGGCGGGGGGGGCGGCTGCAGCCGGCCCTCCACCGCCGCCCACAGCGCCGACAGGGTCGTAGGGATCCTGGTCGGGCAATCCCAACGATAACCTCGCCGCCCTCCACATCAACCCTCCGCAGCAGGGCATCTCAGGAATCGGGGCCGAAATAATTGCCAACAAGCCGATCCCAAAAACAGTGCCAAGACCGGGGAAGGCAAGGATATGCTTCATGATTGATTTTCCCTATCTATATTCATATGAATGTTGCTATTACTGTTCTTTCAAATGAAGGAGAACTAATTAATATGTCCGTCAAACAGTTTCAAGTCTAGAAATATTTCTCAGAATCCGATCCTTTTAAAAGTTTCTTTGACATATATGTCTATCAAAGATCTCTTCTTGAATTTTTGCATGCCGTCAACTCCGAGCCCAAGTCAGAGTTCCCTTAGAGGGAACACGCATATGACGATCTGCGCGCACTTCGTGCACTTTCAATATCAAAATGCCCGGCGTCAGTCGAGTAGTCGCTATTTCCACTCTGGTGAGATCTCCTAGAAGATCGGCGAATCGACCGAAAGGAAGGAAAGGAAGGCGGCATACTGAAGCACAAGAAAAACTCCAGTTCACCGGTCGAAGTTCTGATCACCTCTGTTGTACCACTGACGGATAATATCTCGGAGGAACTCAAACGCAGATCGATTGTGCCCAAAGGCAAGACTTTCTGCGCGAGGTCACCTCTAGCTTCTATGAGCAGGACTTCGTCCCACAGTCGCTTCAGTCTCTTGGAAGTAGCAGCAGAGAAAACATCTGTCAATGCCTTGCCCGCAAGACATCCGAGCGGTGCAGAAGCCGCACAGACTTGCATGAAGTCTATGTCGACCTCTAGCAACCCAAGTCGAGAAGACCGCGAAGCCGGCTGAATTTCCTCTGGCCGGCTGTCTTCTCCTTCTGAAATCGCATCAACTGCATTGCTGGCAATGCTCTTCTGATCTGTAAAATCGCGCAGGCCCAGCAAGTGATGCATACTACCATCTAGCTTGTGGTAGCTTACCTGAAAGACCTCTGTGCGAAACTTGCTTCCGCAGGCATCAACCAGTCGTGTGTGGAATGCTCTTGCTGACACTGTCTGCCGTTGCTCGTGTGCCTCGCAGTCCGTGGAATTTCTGAGAATTTCAGCAGCACGCTGCTTGTCATCGGAGCCAGCAACAAAGTCTGTAAAGCTCAGGCCCACCATGCAACGATTGCCTTGGCCTCGCAGCAACATGGCAGCCAGCTGTGGTGAGCAGGTCGCGACCGTCAAGTCTTCGTGAAGCTCCAACACTGCATCACACGTCAGCTCAAGCAGGGCCGAAGCTGCGTTCAGCTCAGTGGTCGCTTTCGTGCCTCTGACAAACTGCTCGGCAAAGCGTTCCAATGCGGAGCGCATGATGAACGACAGAATCACTACTGCCAAAGTGCAGATCACCTCACCATGCAAGGCCCAGGCAACGGCTTCTTCGTGATCTTCAAGCACCGTACGGAGGTACGTCATGAAAACGCTAATCAAGTTTGCAAGAAGAACGAAAAAGTAATGATGCGTCATTATGGCAGCGGGCAACCGATAGACCACCAGCACTACGCCGGAAACGGCAGTCAGGTATTCCGCATGCACGAACTGAGGCCAGAGGCCGCACGCCAAGCTGGCGCTTCCCAAAAGGTACCAGAAGTCCAAGGTGTACACTGACAAAAGGCAGGGGAAGAGCTGAGTAAAAACTAGGGAAGCGAAGCACCCGACCATAAGCCAAGAGAAAGCGTCGGTCATCCATCGCGGTTTTTTGAAAATTATGTTCCACTGAACCATCGTGAGCACCACACATGAAAGAAATGTCAAGAGTAGCGAATACCTGCGAGCGATGCTCAGGCGCAGCTTGGAGACCTCTCTTGCGACTAACAGTTCATCGGTGTCGGCCCTGGTGGCGCTGCCTTTGCAAAACGCTCTCCGATGCAAGCCCAAAATACATCTGCCGTATCCGGCGACAGCCTGCACCATGCTGGAAAGAATCTCCTTTGTACGTCCCCTTACATTCCACAAAAGCTTCGCGGCTAGCAGGCCTTGAAGAACTCCAGCTGCAGCAAGCCAGGCCGTTTCATCCAAATCCTGCCCCTCTGGATCCATGGAGTGCCAATGCTGCGAGGCTTTAAAACTTGCTTGGGCCGAAGTCGCCTCCAGAGTCAGATGGTCACAAGGCACCGACATGCTATCTTAGTCCTCGGGATGCTCTTCCCCAAGCCATCGGTCTGCCTGGAGCCTGTGGCCTAGGGGTCTTAGCCATGCTTTGGAGGGTCTTCTTGGCAGTTCGGCTACTCTAGTCAGAATCCCGCAAAAACAAGACGGGCAAGCCAAAGTCGTCTTTGCTTTGCGTCACCCATGTTGCCACCGCCCTGAGACTTATCCGTTCCACCTTGCAGGCCTAAGGCCCTTCCGACTACTCTCATCCTGAGTGTGAAGCATAGCTTTTGGCACAACAGCGACCGCACAAGCATCCTGTGAAACTTGGACCTTCGCACACGACAGCAAGATCGGTTCTGAAGCGCTGCATGCCCGCACCTGTTGCTTTCAGCTTTGTATCCAACCCGGGAGCCCTTTGATTGCTCTTTGCTCTGTTGCAGAGTTTTGGGCATACAGCGGGGCGTCAAAAGGCCTCAATCATGGACTGATCGAAACAACTTGCCACCACAGCCTAGACCCTCAGTTTGCCAATGCACTGAAAGCAATATCTTCT